TGCTCTGACCAACTGAATGATTTATTAACGTAGAGCCTAAACCGCTAAGGTTACGGAAAAATTAGCAACATGTGTTTTTCATGTTGTTGTCAACATGAAAAACACCAGCTGCCAAAAAAAATTCGTCCAAAATTTGCAAAACTCCCTTCTTAAAGGGTGTTTACACACACACTTTTGCAAATTTCCCCTCAAAGGTGATAAAATAAGGGAAGAACGGTTGTATGGAAGAAGATCAACATTTTCAAAGTTAGAAACACGAAATAGGAAATAATAACACAAACGAAGCCGGAAGCAATTGCTAGTATTTTAATAATTATGATGAAAAACGATATCATAAAGTTTAAATTGTAATAAGTCTGGATAAATACAAAATGGCGCACCACAAAACGGTGTGTAATGGCATTTAATAATATTGTCATAACTATCAGGCGATTCATAAGAGCGGCCGTGAATTTGTTTGGTCGATTTCTTCTCACAAGGTTTTCAATTTTCAAACAGGCGGTTTTAGACACAAACAGAGCTACTATTTAATGCACAGTACGGCACACGGATAGAAGCCCAAAATCGATCTAAATGGCGTGCAATGGGAGAGGCCTATGTCCAGCACAACCTGCAGTTTTAGTTGGTTTGACTTCGACACGCCGTCCTATCGTAAACTTCGGTGGGGTGACGGCCCAAGGAGGTTTCCACAGCACAAAAAAAGGTAGACAGTATTATCGGTTTCCATTTCTTTTATTGTCAAAATTACATATTTCTATATTTAACCTTTATCGTAGTTTATGTATCAAACGGCCTACTAAAACTCAGCAATATAGCCATTACTATACATACATATAATTTGTATTAACTGCGGACTACGCTGTCAAGTAAGTTGCACAAACTGCTGCGCCCACTACTTATCGCCCCGCATTCCTTCTTATGAAACACGTTCAAACTTGTACCAAATTATTGCTACTATTAATTATATAGAGAAGGAAATATGAAGCAATAATTTGTTTTGGATCATTCAATGCTATCAAATATCTCGTAAGATGATTTGAGCTTTTTCTCGTAATCGACAGTAATAGATGACCTGTTCACGGGTGTCGTAAGAGGCGACTAAGGAGCAAACTACGCTGGACAACAGCACCGCAAAGAGAAGGAGAACTTGACACAAACCCTATACTAACCCGTCTAGACAGCGTGGTATGGTACGCCAAAACCTCATTTTTAAGGAGAGGCCTATGTTCAGCAGTGGATTAGTAATGGCTGTTGATGATGATGATGATTCAAATTACTTTATTTACTTTACTTTCTATGTAAAGATTACAGACATTATGAAATGTGTATTGTTTTTTGACAATACTTTGCAGTAACAGTCCACAGATAATGTCCGCGAAATAACAGAGTCCATATGCAGGTCCAAAAGGAGATATTTATAGTTAAATACAATAATCATCAATTCATATAAAAGCTATCTTATTGAGGTCTAGTGTATACGCTATTTTGTAAATATTTTTGGTATTTGCTTTAAAGTAAAACAAAGTACTTTAAAAATTAGGGACTGTTTTCTCGACGGTAGTCTTTCAGTGCTCATCTCATTATTTAATAAGAAGTAAGAAACTTTACTTTTTTTCCTGTGCCCTGTTATCCCCTCTTTTTTTTCCTGTGCCTAACATCCTCTCGGATACCACCTATCGGTGGTTATGTCGGACTCTAACGGACTAAAAACGGCACGCCATCTTAGGTACCAGTAGCCGGGAAACCAGGTGTACCCTAGGAAGGAAATCCTTGGATCCCTGACGTATCTTGGGCCATCTACGGCATTAAGATGACCCCCTCGTGTGTGGGAACCACAATGTTCCCGTTCTACAAACTAAAGGTCGCGTCGCGCTGCCAACTCGACCTGCTTCTGCTAGGGTGATAGATGGCCCCAACTTCAAGTCACTCAGTGGAAAATAATGAAATCATTACTCAACAACGGGTTTTCATCTAGCATGTGTAATGTGATCACAAGATTCTGACAGCCCAATTAACGGCTTCACAGATATGGAAGACCCTAAGGAAGTAGGTATATCTGAGCACAATAATCAAGACCACAGAGATAGGCACGTCAGCCCGCCTCCATGCCCAATTCCTTCATAAAAATACATGGACCTCGGCTCCACTCGTCACATGTACATCTGATGCAATAAAATCATTTTTACACGTGTAAATTAAAAGATTGTTCACCAGATCTTAGCCAGCGATTTCAAAAGACATAAATATTCATACATTGTGAAGGTAATGAAGATTGCTGAACATATGTTGAGAATTTCTCACGAAAACATTATGGTCTGACGAAAGTGGTAAGTGCTGCGGCCATCGGAACTAGATTCTAATGATTAATGGTACCCAGAATAGTCTATTTGGTAATTTCATGTGTTTTTGAACAATTATTAAGATATTTATGTCTATGCAGTGGACAACTAAGGACTGTTGATGATGGACACAAATCAGTGATACTCTTTTCAAAAGTTAATTAATGCTTACAATACTGATGTACCAACTTTGATGCACCACTTAGGTACTCTCTCAGCTATACATTTTTTATAGCTATATATTTCTGACTGCCTGTTTTTAACTCCTGCTTTTTCAAGGTATTCAGATTATTTTATAGGGATATAACGTCTAAATGAATTTTAAGTTCATATATTGTTCTCCGGTTATTTCTTCATCACCAGTTTCTTTAAATCATCATCATCATCAACAGCCTTTACTAGGCCTCTCCTTAGAAAGAAGGTTTTGGTCTACTATATCACGCTGGCCAGACGGGTTGGTATATTGTTTGTTTCAAGTTTTTCTTCTCTCTGCAGTGTTGCTGTCCTGCTTAGTTTGCTTCTTTAGTCGCCTCTTACAGATGAATTCGAGTTAAATAAGTAACATCTAGTATCATAAGCCTGTAGGGACAACAGGTACCTATTTAGTTTCAACATGATGAAAATATTCTTGAAGCCTGTCGTATCGGTATGAACCTGTGTGCCACTCACACTAAATTAAGAAATCAGTGCAGAATTTTTTTGACCTGCATTTATTCAAGTAAGACGAAACATAACGACCATGATTTACTACAAAAATAATAAATATACAACGTTTTCTAGGAAATTATAATTGAGTGCTACCAGAAATTTCAAAATTAATATTATTATATAAGATGGTACCTATTTCAAAGCAAAATAGTTACGTACATCAATCATTACGTTAATATTATAGTCGAGTGATTTTTTATATATTGTACTATATTGTAGTAAATACTATATTCAGTTGAGGGAATCATTAAATTATACTAAAGTATTCAAAACTTGATAATAAAGATTAAATATTGAATGACAGTAGATCTTTAGTTTCAATAAACTGGTTTATATGACAGTAGATCTTTAGTTTCAATAAACTGGTTTATGTAAAAATTTCATAAAAACCGTTTTCAATTTCTCCATTTTTTTGGACCTTTTTTACCATATAAAATTGCAAAATCGTTCAAGTTGTCGTAATCATAAATGTTAACCGACGTGAAGAGTATTCCTGTTACGCCTTTTTTTTTCAAAGTTTAGCACACGGTGGCACGGAAAATTTGAATTACTTAAATGTTATATATGTATATATAGATGAAAAATAGATATAGATTATTTTTTTTTAATAATCTGTGTTACCATTATAAAATATGAGAAATACACACATCAAGCTATTTTTTTTTAATATTATCATTGATACGTATATTTTAACACTGAAAGTTTAACCTTTTTTTATTCTTATATTTTTAACAAACTTTTGAACACAGTGTAACTTACAGTTTAACTTACGCTGTCTAAAATTTACTGACCTAAGGTTGAATATCGACCACCACGCGATTTCCAATATAGATTTTAAGTCTATAAATCATATGTAAACACTTAGTTATACGTAAAAGGGACTGGTCAGAAGTTGTAAATGCGACGACAAGGTCACAAGCTATAAACAAAAGCTTTGACTCGAGTTTACTTTCAGCAATTTTATGTCTACAATCAATAAGGCAGTGGTTATGTTGTGTAAGTGTGGTTAAAGTTCTAACGCCTACAAACAACATACTATATTTGATATAATAAACAAAATATTACGCTTTATTTACGGCATCTTATCAATTCTTTGTACTATTTTTAAACAAAGTAGGAAAATAAAGGAATGTGTATTACTTAAAGTGTATGTTACAGAAATGCAGTCAAAAGTTAGGCAAACGTCTACGAAGATTTGTCATGGCGCGAAAATAGATGCAATGTATTTTCGAGTTATGGTGTATAACAATAACAAAAATGACCATAAGATATTGATTAATGGTTAACATGCGACCATCAATCGTACACTAATAACTTTATATACGGCCATTTTGTTTCCTTCATGGTTTAAACACATAATTTTTTTGAAGTATTTTTTAAGTCTAAAAATGGGTTTGGTGTACCCTGTGACAAAGATTATTAATAGTTGCATACGACGTTAATAAAGTTAATAAATATATAAATTTAGAAAATATCAGGTGGTTATTTATGTTTCTAAAACGATATTGCACATTTTTTCCCACAGAAAAGTATTTTATTGCATTTAATTATTCTTGTAGGTACAAATAACAAGAGCAACAATAAAATACAATCGAAAATAAATCATATCTTTCATGTAAATCCTTTATAAACTTATAATAAATTGAAAATGAAAAAGTTGTGACTAGAAGAGCTTAAACTGCATTAATATTCATAAAGTAACATAGGGACTGAAGGAAATCAAGTCCAAGAATGTTGCGTGATGCATAAAACCTATTTAATCGTATAGTTATATAAAATATATAGGGATATTGAAGATAGAGATAAATTATAGTAATAATACTTCTTATTGTGCTTCGAAAAAAAACATACAAAAAAATCTCATTAGTAAATTTCCTGCTCTAAATAACCCAAATGAAATTCCATTACAATCAAAATATTATGTCAATAAACATATTATGTCAATAAACTTACCTTTAAAACGAACATGGCTGCTTGTCAAATTTTCCCGCGTTTTCGCGTCGGCACACAACGATCACTACACACGTCTGCGGCTTGCTACACTGCCACTTGTATTTATAATGTCGCCAGGTTACAACAGTGGTTGTTCTGATATTGTTATGCGTAGCAGAGCCCTCGTAACGTAACACCCCCGTTGATGCGTTGACATATTTAATAGTGATTCATTGAGAAGACATATTGATAAAGTATTCAATAAGGTTTTTATGTATTAAACACTAGTTTTATGCTTCTATAAGAACTATCACATTCTGAAAAAAAAACCTTTACAGTAGAGTAATGCACACATTTAAATCTATTTTTTTAAAGAGTTATTCCATGGACTAGGTATTTTTTTTTATTGCATAGATGTTTCTCATGCAGCCTAGGTTACGACTTGTTTCTTTTTAGAGCATGGTCAAAGAAGACACTGTATGTGTGTGTTGCATGCCAATGAATATTTTATTTTGATCTTAAAACCATTTTCTATTATTTACCTTCAAAGTACAACTTTAAAAGTAAATCAAATCAAATATCTTTATTTTTCAATAGAATAACATTTTTAGCATTAATTTGTGATTGGTGCCTCCTTTTAAGCAAACAACGCCTGTGTTAGGACACTCTGCTCTTCCATAACTAAATTTAAATTATACCAATATGTGTCTATGAGCTGTGTACGTGTTGTGTATGCGTGCGTGTGTGTGTGTGTGTGTGTGTGCAAAAATTGCCACAATAAACAGAAATAAATTACATCAAATTCTGCATTTACACAAATACACAAAAAGGAGATATTTATTAAAAACAAATACAAATACAAATTAAAAATTACGAAAAAACTTTCAAAACCATTATAATTTTTCTGCTGCTTTACTCAGTTTGTCTTGTTCTATGTGATAATATACAAACAGGACCAAGGAAGAAAACCTACGAAAAATGGAGACACCTATTGTTATACCACAAATGTCGGATAGGCAACGGGACTGAGTCTGCACCACGGAGCAAATACATAGGTCTTCACTAATTCCGGGAAACCGGAATTTTAAAATGTATCCCAAAAGCAGTCATGCAGTCATTTAAATCCAGATATTTATAATCTTCGTATATATCTATATATATATATATATATATATATATATATAATCATCAATATATTTCTAGTTCTCTATCAATATATTTCAGTATTGTCTACATTTAGGCCTCCAATACAATGAAACTTAATTTGCTTCGAGTATCCTCTCTCTCCCTCAGCCCTAATTCTGGAGGTAAAAACAGAGGGTGTTTCAGATGTTCTTAAGCGGCTGCAGTCACTTACCATCAGATGACGATTTGTGGCGACTCCCACATACAAAGAAACAGAAACATACTACAGCGCCATCTAACGAAGACACGCCGAACTACGGAATAACTTCTGAATGAGAGTTGCTAATCCTGTATCGCGATATAAAGAATTCACTCGCCGATTAGTATATATACAACTTCCCAATCTTTGGGCCCCGGCCCTCCAGGCATAATCACCTCTCCTGTTTGAATCTTCCCTTCGTGTTTGAGGGACATGACATTCGTTCCTCCACAGTTTGATTTGTTTATGGAATAGGTTCCCTAAACCTTAGAGGTATAAGCAAAGAGTAAACAAGATTCCCAATCTTGCAATTTAGACAACGAGAGAGATGGATAATAGATAGATCCCTCTATCTCTTTCTAGCCAAGCTCAGTGGTTGGCTAGGGATTATGAGGGATTAATAAGTAGCCAATCGGAGCTTAGCTAAACAGAGACAGAGGGAAATATTGGGCATCTATCTCTCGTTGCCACTAACGCTTCCACTTACACCACTTAAACCAATGTGTTCTCTCGGTGCCATAAACAAATCAAACTTTTTCATTTTTCTGTCTTTCATTATATAACTCACTATACAACTGACCCGCGAAACTTCGCCTGTTTCATAGACAAAACACTATAAACCAAAGAATCTGTGTCTCTCAAAAGGAATAAATTTCCCCCGTTTTTACAACATTATAATATTGATACTCAGCCCCTAATGGTCATATCGTGATCAAGATTTTTCCAGTTGTTCTTGACATTAACAAAAGAAAAAAACTCTTCATCTTTATAATATTAGTAGGTGTACAGAATTCAATAAAACAACATAAAAGCTAATATGATAATAAATAATAAGAAAAGGTAATGTACTGTTGTTTAACAAAATAGGTTAGTATAAGTAAAATAATTACCAAATTAAGCCCTAGATGGCGTTAGTGTCGAATTGAATCGCACTATCGTTTGTTTACAACTATTGTATTTAAGCATACACAATACGTTCAATAAATATCTTGCTCTGAGATACTGAAGTTTGCTTTAAACGGGTATAGGGTAGGTATAGATATAATTTTTATACTTTTGTCGCTGGCAGACTTACTTTCATTTCTTGCGAATTTCCTTCAATATCATAAAACCTTTAAGTATTCGTTTGATTATTTAAGAGAAAACATCGTGTTTATATTTAGGAAGTTGCTCAAGAAATGAATTGATGAATATTAACTGGTATGTCCCTTGAAGCACCCACAACCTGATCTAGATGCTTCGGGCAAGGCCAAGTAAAACCTGTCCTTACTACATATATGCTAAGAGCTAGAGCACGCGAGGTAAATATTATTGCAAAATGATATTTTTACATTCTGATTTTTCACCCCTATTGACGGATTAGGAATACAGAGTGTCACCACCCCTATTCATCCCGTGGGTGTCGTGAGAGTCGACTAAGGGAGCAAACTACGCAGGACAACAGCACTGCAAAGGGAAGGAAAATTTGAAACAAACCCATGCCAACCCGTCTGGACAGTGTGGTATAGTAGGCCAAAACCTCCTCTCTAAGGAGAGGCCTACGTCCAGCAGTGGACTATTACAGGCTGTTGATAATGATTACCATATTGTTTGTATAGAAAGAATTATAATTGTTTAAGTAATTTACTTTTATTGCTAAGCCATTACTAGATATAGCATTAACTGAATGAGTATTTTATTAAAGAACTGTGCTCCTCAGCTTGGCTAAATAAAATTTCCGATTTTGCGCGTTTTGGTGGTTTAAAAACATTATGTGCTCGGGACCTGACATATAAGTCATGATCATGAACCGCTACTGTTTGTATAATAACTTAGCCTTTGAAATAGTGGTGTTCTTTATTAAGCCCATTTTTATATTAGGTACTAAGTCAATCTAGGAATTTTACTTTCTTGGGTACACCTGGTTCCCCAGCAACTGGTACCAGAGACGGCGTGGGGTTTTTGGTCGGTTCGAATCCGACATATCTATCCCACCGGTGGTGGTATCATAGGGGAATGCCGCAAAGAAACAAATTAAATAAAAAAGGTACTAAATCAATCGTTATGTAGTTTACTCTACTTTTCAGTGGTCTTATTTTTTATTAATGTAATTAAAGTATTATATTGTACCTTCAATATAAGTTAAACAACTACAATTATGCTATTAGCTACGCTTATGAATTTTTCGTAGTGATTATTTAACAGCTAGTGTCTACGCCCTTCATTCGGCATTGCTAAATATAAGAAAATTAGATATCTATATTATATATTTCCTTTCCTTGTTATCTGTCTTGTTTATATAAATGGAAACTATAGGTAAAAAAAATAGTTAAAAAAAACTAAATAACACGCTTTTTATAGAAAACCAAACTAAAAAATAGAAAATAAATTTGAAAAAAGCGTTGGGTACCTGTTGTCAATAGTAAAAAGCGCCCCCTTTAATTATTATTTTTAAATTAGTGTATTGTCATCGGTCCTCGATAAATCTACAAAGTTTGAAGAATTCTGACCGTTTAGTCAGTCAAAATCACGCCCAAAGGAGTCAGTTACAAACAAACATACAAACATACAAGTGAAACTAATATAAAGCGTGTAAAAAGGAAACTAAGGGGATATTGCATTTACGGATAGATTGCAAAATGAAAGCAATAGCTCGAGAAAAGCAAAGTAATTCTAACCCCTACCTATTTGCTGTGCCTAGAATAATAAAGCTAGTGCTATGCTACATATCCTGATCATGTAAAAAAGCCAATTATCAGTTTGTTTCTTATGCATGCATGCATGCACGTTATAAATTTAATCTACCAGCTCCTGGGCTAATAAAGCCTTTTAGACCACTATAGGTTGATACAGTATGCACACGCACAAAGGACATGGTTTCATTCATTCGAGTATTTGCGTGCCAGAGACAGACTTTTTATTTTGTTTTAAAATTAAACAAGTTTTTGTACTCAGTTTTGCTCGTATGAATGTCTATGTATATGTCTATATCCCAGTGTCAGTACCCAGTGTCAGTACCTATAGGTTTTGGGTCGAAAACCTATATGGTGGTTCCCGTTGACCTAGAATCACGAAATATGGCAAAAAGAAACGTCTTACAGCACAGATAAAGATAAAGTTGAAAATTAAGATAAATTTTGGTACTTACAAATTTTCGCGAAAATCTAAGTAAAATCTAGGTAGGTACGGAACCCTCGGCGCACGAGTTCGACTCGTACCTGACCGGTTTTTTTATTATTGCATGTAGGTATATCTGCGTCTAAAAAAACTTCCGTATTCCTGGGTTATTAATACCATTCTGACATACTTTTGTTTATATTCTAGAGAATTCTAGGACTCAAAACAAAAATGTTACTAGTCCTAGTAAAATTAGCTATTCAAATTAATATTATGAACCAAATGTTTATTATTTTTTGTTGTTGAGATGCGTTTTTTTTTTATAATTTATGTGTTGGTTTTAATTGAAGTTGAAATCAGATCATTTTATTTAGTTAAGTTTTAATAAAATCAAATAGTAGGTCAAAACAGCCTTTCTAAGGAGAGGCCTATGTCCAGCAGTTGGACTATTACAGGCAGTTGATGTGATGTAATGTGAAAATAGTAGGCCAAAACCTCCTTTCTCAGGAGAGGCTTATGTCCAGCAGTGGACTATTAAAGGCGGTTGATGAATTTG